TTTGGTTATGTTTGTGAATTATTTGTTGATCATGGCTTTCTTTGGTACAAATTCTTGGAGAACTTTGATGAAGTAGTGGAATAAGAGTTTTGGCCCAAAGTATATATGGTTGCTTTGTACATTAACTTTATAGTTGTGGTGAATGAGGATGCATTTTCGTTCGAAAAGCACGACAAATTCAATTTCGACACTTCTAATTGTTTTGGTTCGAGAGACTTGCAAAGCATTTGTGAATTGTGATAACTTTATTATTGGATTTTGACTTGTTGTTGCTAAGCTAAAGCGAGGGTCATTCTTGGATGTAGATATTTAGTCCCTTCTAATGGTTTTGGTTAGAGAGACTTGCCAAGCATTTGTGATATAACTTTATTGGTTGGATTTTGACTTGTTGTTGCTAAGCTAAGAGTGAGGGTCATTCTTGAATGTAGATATTTATTCGAAACCCATTTTCGATGATTCATAAATAGTATGAAAGTAACATGATGAGGGTATACTACTATATCAACATTCAAGAACCTTGTTAGAGAAATCTTAGTCCATTGATTGTGCTTTAGTACTATAGGGTATTCGTCGAGAATAGAAAATTTGAAAAGGACAATGAAATCTCCATCACTCAATGAGCTCATTTGATATGATTTATTATTATTATTTTTTTAATCTCGAGTTGTGTCGATGTATGAAATTGTAGTAAATACTTCATCAGATAAGTTCGAGTTTTTTGCTAGTTATACCTGGAAATCCTTATTTGAACAGAATGAAACTATTGGTATCAAACTACACCATATGGAAACTTATTAGTGAACCAACACAAAGAAACTTATTAGTGAACGAATACAAATGATTAAATCAATGTTTTATCGAACTGGCTGGGTCAACTCGAACCCGGTGACCCAATGTGGAACTCAAGCTGAGTCACATGTTTGGACTGTGTTATGAAGTTAGATAAAAATTAATATAGTTGACTTGGTGTCGATTTGATTGACTACTGAATCAAACAAGATTTATTATTATTATTATTATTATTATTATTATTATTATTATTATTATTATTATTATTTTGTTACTTTAAATAATTATTTAATTAATTGGACCAGTGACTCGATGTTGAGCCTGAGTCGGTGACTCGGCCTTGGTCAATGCCGGGTTCACATGGACTTGAACCATTTATTGTGGCTTAGTAGTATTTTGTCACCTGAACGTGGAAGTGATTCACCGTAGATTGAAATCAACCCAACAATTCCTACCCAAACTTAAAAAGTTTTTCTACTAATTTTATTTATTAGATCAAGCCATTAATTTAAACTATGACATTCGCACCCGTACATTAACTAATCGTGCCACATAATACTTTCCAATCATGTCTTCTCTTATTCCACTATTTTAACATATGTTCATCATTTTTATATATCAAAAACAACACCAATCATATGACCTTGGAACACTTTCATTCTAGGAGCAAATATGAAGATGAAAATAAAGATCAAACTAAGAGGGGAGTGAAGAAGAGAGCCTCTACGTAATTGTCGACACTCGAGAAATAGGTATCCTCTTCATGTTTGTACACAACTTGCGAAGCTCGTGCCATGTTAAGCGCGACTTTCACGATAGCCAATGGCATACCATTCTTCGAGATGAGTTCCCCATTCAAATCTTTCCATAATCCTTTTATTTCTTCTAGTATCCGGTCCCGACCTTCCTCTTCTGACGCCAAATTCTTCTCTCGAATGAGTAATTGTATGCTCGATGCAAGATCTCCTCGTTCTTGCTCCTCCTATAGGCAAGCCATTGGATTTTATGATAATAAATAAACCGATTTTACATTGTTCTTTAGCTTACGTGAAAATTAAGTTACACTGCAAGATGAAATTCCAACTGAAATATCTTCTAATGGATATTCCAATACTATTATTTTCGTTGAAATTTTTCAATAAATTCCAACGAAATTCTAACAAAAATATTCCGTTGGAATGAGTTTTCCATTAGAATTTCCGCTGGATTTTATGATTCCAACAGTACATTTTTCGATGGTTGAGTATGGGCGGAAATAAAAATTTCAACGGTAACTGCATATTTCAATGGTAATAAGCCGTTGGAATCATCAATTTTTATCTAAAATTCCAATGGTAAGCTCATTCCAACGGAATATTTTTATTAGAATTCCATTAGAATCATTCCAATATACCGTTGAAATATCCATTGAAATTTCCATTAGAACTATTACCGTTGGATTTTCATTGAAATATGTTTTTTTTTTTTTGGGTAGTGTTAGAACAAAGATAGCAAAATGCATGGCGCTACCTTGGCGGTTCCAAGATCATCCCAAAGGCGAAGAATCCGACCTGCGGCCGAGAAGAGCTTCGGGTACGGTTTTTTCAACATTCGAGCATTTTGATTGGTTACACCATCACCTATTAGAAAGAAGAGGTGCACGAGAGCCATATATGCACCCGCAGTCGAAACTCCATTCTCTATGTACTCCTCCAAGTTCGGTTGACTCCCTCCATTGAACCACTTTGCCTCCACCATGAAACCTTCAATCATGTCTATCCACTGCAAAGAATAGACGGTTTTCGTTCACAAAACGTATGATATATACATATATATGTACTAAAGTTCATTAATCATGTAATGATATCGGTTGCTACTTACCGTCGATTTGAGGTACGGAAGAACACTCCATCCATTTTGCTTGAGTACTTTGTAACAAATCTCATTGGTAGTGTTATACAAAGCCATGTAGCATATTTTCATGTACTCGGGTAAGGTGTCGATGGCGTCAAGATCCCATCTTTTTAATTACCAACGAACAAAACCCCGATTTTTAGTTCATTACACAAATAACTTAATTCAAAAATGGCGAAAAAAACAATAAACGATAAAATAAGAATTTTACGCGAACCTTCGAATTGCATCGGTGAATATAACGAGTTCATCCATTTTTCCATAGGTGTCAAAAATATCGTCGATGACTAAGAGAATGGCGATGGTTTTCGCGAGCTCTGTTCGGCAAACAGAGTATTTCGGGTCGGGAAGGAGCCCAACGCTCCACAAAAAGCACTCCAATGGCCTATCTCTCGCAAAACTCAGTTTCTCGACGAGGCCAAGCTGCTTCCACCACCTGTCCACGCGTAATTCAAAACCATATATTATATTAATTTTTTAAATACGCGTAACATTTATAGTGAATCAAGACAAAAAGCGCGTTTGGTTAATTTTTCCAGCACACCTTGTAATTTCAGAGAGTTCCGATTGATGTTGAGCTTGAACTCGGGTATAGTCCAAGGTAGCTAGCTCGAGAAGGGTTGGATCGTGAGAATTTTGTTTGGAGTATTCTAGAATGTACCGTCTTGCTTCCAAGCGTTCCATTCTAAGGTGCCTCGGGAGTTCAAAGGTTTCATTTGTGCTAATATTATCATCATCGGCCGAATTATTTTTGCTTTGAAGGTGTGTTTTGCTGAACTTTTGGGCTTCCTCTAGTATTGTTTCTCCTTTGGCTCCCAAATGTGATGCTTCATACAAGCTCAATAGCCCTTTTGTGTCCTCTGCTAAGCATTCTTCGAATTTCCCACTTTTGACATCCATGAACTTGGAGAACACATCTAATTAATCAAGACAAGTTAATATTAGATTTAATCTTTCTAGATCATATGTGGAAATGAGTCATAAGTTGATGAAAGAAAATGAATATAAACATGAGTCACTGTGTATATACAGTGGCTTTTATGTGCATGTTTTCAAATAATTAATGTGAAACAATATTGTTATACTTGTTCAATGTCAATGTTGTTGGGGCAAAATTGTTAAATATACCCAGTAATTAGGAAGGATGACAAATTTATGCAGTAATTTTTTGAAAATCTATACTAACTAATTAAACTCTTAACATTATGGCTAGTCTTCTAGGACAATTTCTAGCTGCAATTAGTTAGTAGGTGTTTTTTTCAGACATATTATACTCGATTTTTGTTGATGTATGGGTATTTTCTACAATCGCAAAAGTAAATGTCCAAATTTATCATTTGTCCATAAGTTATTGGGCACACCATTTTGTCTATTAGTTTAGTTGCATATTTTCATCTCCTATCGAAAAACTCATTTTTATCGGAAAAAATTTCTAATACATATATATTCATATAAATTATATCAAATTTGCACGAAAATAGTAATAGTGATAGTACCAGCATCAGCCGGGAGTCCGTTTTGACGAAGTAATCGGAAGCGTAGAGCAGTGGTGAAGAGGTCCTCCTTATTAGTGTCATCATTTGTGGCATTATTATGAAGAATGCTCGAGTACTCGTCTTGAAGTAAGGCCATGATATCATCCTCTAAATAGTATCCGATTCCTAGCCGTTGGATCGTGTCGACAAGTTGCAATTTCTCGACCGTTCCTCGACTAGCACTATCTTGCACTTCTCTTCTTGTTCTTTCAAGCAAATATTCTCTCCTTTTGCTTTGGCCCTTGTCTTGTTTCTCTTCACTAGGAACTAACTGCATATACATGTAACTATTTTATTAGGTGGTTGGACTAAACAAAAATTTATGTGGTAAGATAACATAAGAACCACACTCAGATTCATATATAGTTATTGCCCAAAGGAAAAGAGTAAATATACATGACTTTTTGGTTCTTTTCTTTTTTTTCCCTCTATGCATAGTTACGTCGGTGACCAGAAATTTTATGGAGTCATTCATGAATTTATGTATTGACATTTGTCTCAAATATGTTTATCTTAAAATACCAGTCAATACACTGTTTATGAATAAATTACGGAATATTCCATAAGTTGTGTATCATCAGATGACTCTAGTAAAATCGATCTCTATACTCCCTCTAGGGCTCAACTCTTAAGTTACATATTTATCCATAGAGATTAGAGACATGCACTTGCTTCACCTTCATGCACCTAGGTTTCGAAGAATCATAATCTAAAGATTCATTTTACTATTATCACAATCACATATGACATATATACATATATATATATATATATGTATATATATATACTCAAATTGATATACAACAAATAAACAAACAAACAAACCATTTTACTCATTAGATTCCATGTGAAATGTTCCTAGAACAATTAGCAACTTATCTTTCTACTGCAAACATGATTGTCACACCCTCACATCAATTGGTCACATGAAGTGCAAAATAGATTTTAGTGAGCAAAATTGTAAAAACACACCCAATAACCTTGGACATATATACATATAATAAAACTTTTCTAATAGCTTTTCTTAATTGAAACCAAAATGATCAACTAATTCAATCGCAAACACTCTCCTCGGATTTTTTTTTTTAATTATTTATCATTCTCCGCAATCACGTTACTCGCTGAATTCGTTATCTATCCAAGGTTACTGGGTATAATAGTTTTGAAAACATCCGATAATGCAATAAAAATTTTCATAAATAGAAATTTCGACATGTACAAATACACGCGCACTTACAACTGCAGATCGACGTACGTATTTGAGCAGGGACTCGTCGGCCGAGACAATAGGTGTAGATGTGGGATTCGAATACGACATGCGGACGCAAGCTCGGGCAGGCGAACAATTGGTCATTGGCTGGTTTTTCCTCACTTGCAATGGAAAAGAGGTATTGGGGACAACATAGTACAATTGTGAAGACAAAGGTATGTTGTTCCTTGTGCATGCCATTTTCTACACAAAGTTTGTGATGTTAAAATGTGACTATTGTTAGTGAATTGGGTGCAATATGTGGACTATTTTGGAACTCAATTATGGATATATTTGGAAGAATTAAAGGGAAACGCGCATGCCCCCCTCGCGAGGCCAATAAAATAAGCAAATCAATTAAAAGTTATCATATTTGACCCAAAATTGAATAATATATTGGACGTCCTCTTCATAGGGTCTTTGCAACAATAATAGTTGTGAATTATTATAATTTGAATCTGTCTTTCTGAAAATGAATGAACATAATTGGCCAAAAACTCAATAATTCACCAGGTTGCCTAGATAAATATTATTATTATTATTATTATTATTATTATTATTATTGTTATTATTATTATTATTATTATTATTATTATTATTATCCTTGGCTTATTTTCATAGTTTTCAACTCAATGTCCATGTAATTAATTTCTTATTTTTCTATCGTTTTGTTAAAAAAGAAAAGAATATATTCAAATATCTGAAGGAATCAAAATAGAATTATAAAATTAAATTATAAATAATATTCCTATCATTTAAAATTTATTTATTTTTTCTTGTACTTACTTGTAATATCGTTTAGTATATTAATTATTATTATTATTATTATTTTTTTTAGATTTAACTTTTAAATTTTGGATCTGCTACTATTTGCTCGTATTATATATATGCACTTATTTTACATGTACTAGGCATACATAGATGTTTGAATAATTGCATTCATACATAATAGAATACCTTAGTAGGACGAGTATAGCATATATAATTGATAAGCATGACTTCAAAGTTCAAATGGAATAATGCAGTTGAACGATAGCATTAAGAGAAAAGTGCATTTTTCGTCCTGTAAGTTTACCCCTCTGAACAATTTAGTCCTCTTCGAATAGCCATTTCGAATTTCGTCCTCTAACTTTTAAAAAAGGTTGCAGATTCATCCCCGACTCGCCGAAAACCCGTTAATTTCCCGGAAACACGCACGTGATGGAAATTAACGGTTCTTTCGGCCTACGTGGAGCGGAATTTCACACGCGAGCGACCTCAGTTACACGTGGCGCCAAAAATGAAAAAAAAAATAAAAAAATTTCACGTGTGTAGACACGTGGAGAAGGAACGTTGATAAAATGAATCGGGTATACTGTTTTTGAATCATTTCCCATCTTCCTTCAACCCTAATTCCCAAATCACAAGATCTCCAAATCTTCAAGAACCCTAATTTTGAAAATTGTTGATTTCGTTCTTCAAAATTGTCGATTTCGTTCACCTACATGTCTGAGTCGTCGCATTATACCGGTTTCTTGGAATGTCAGTGCAAAAAAATGGTTGTTATTCGCACATCATGGACGGCCGATAACCCGGGCAGGAGATTTCATTCTTGCCTCGAGTACAAGGTACGGTGGTCTGTTAACGACGAATTATATGGTATTTAGGGTAGAATTGTATGTGTGTTTCGCCGTGAATCATGAAAGGTGTTTATATGATATTTTTGGTAGAATTGCTTCTGTGTTTTTTTGTGTTCTGATTCTTGCAATGTTGGGTTTTTTTTTTTTTTTTCTTTTCAATTTGGTTTCTTCTTGTTTCATGGTTGTATTTATACATTGTTATGAAGTTCAATTTGGTTAATGTACGACCTTTTTGCTAATGTACAGAATATGAAGGCAGTGAAAAAATCAACCTTTTTTTTGTTAATTTAGACTTAGGTGTGTGTATTTATTATAAGTTGAGGTACTTTTTATTTTGTAGATTGTAAAAATAAATAAAAGTATTATATTTAATCTGAATTTCTAGGCTCCGCCCGGGCCCTGCTTAGGCGCTCTAGGTGCTAGGTGCTGGTCGGACACCTAGTGGGCGCCTAGCGACTTCTAGAACAATAGTTTCAAGTTAATATAAACTAAAGCCTTAAATTGATAATTTTAAATCTTTTGGGCATTGTTAGAATATCAGATGAATAATTATTCATTAATGATTTATAAATAAAATAAATGAATTAATATTAAATAACATAAAATTATTGATTTATATTAAAGACTCGTACGTGTACTTGTAAGATATAGAGTAAATAGATTAACACTTACTTCTTAGACTATCTGCATTTGCTTAGCACCGACAATGCTTCGAGTCTATTAAAAAAATATCACGTGTCATGTAGAAAAAGATATAGAGTAAATAGATTAACACTTACTTCTTAGACTATCCGCATTTGTTTAGCACCGACAATGCTTCGAGTCTATTAAAAAAATATCACGTGTCATGTAGGAATACATTTAGTCTATAAGAAAATATTTTACAATGCTAAGTTGATATGGTCTACTTATGCGGCAGTCAAAAAATGATACCAAGCCCACTATTGGGTCTATTTTGAATTTAAGTACAAATCTGAACAATCAGCATTTATTCATAGTTTTATGTTTAGAGAAATATATTATAGCATTTTTATTGATTGACAGGTATTCTAGACCTAATAATTTATTATTGCACTGAATAGCTTTTGAGTTTTTTTTACTTGGATTTGTTTATGTCATTGAAATTAAATCCATTTTATGCCATATATTTAAATTGGACTGGGTGCTTATGTATAGTAATATATATTTGCAATAATTTACTTTAGATATTTTCTCTAACTAATTTCGTTAAGGCTAATTCTAAATAGGCTCTTGGTCATAATGGCTTGTACCTAGGTGCATACATTGCCAAATCAGTTAGAGATGAAATGTATTTCTAAATGGTTGTAAAGTATTTATGAATAATTTTGCACATTGTTTTGTAACGTTTAACCACGCAACGATTTAGATTTGATTATCTAAAATTAGTGAATGAGAGACAACTCATCTTCAAGTGTATACTATAAGTAAAGCGAGTGCACGAGCAGCACGACTCATGCATAAGGTTTCAACAAATATATATATTTTTACAATAGTGTGATGATAAATTACTTAAGTTTTTATGTTTGTATTTTGCAATAAAAAATATATTTTATATACATATGCTTACGTAGGAAATTTTTGTACCAGAAGAAATGAATTTAGAGACATATGCTTTTGAAATTTTTGTACAAGAAGAAATGAATTTAGAGACATACTTAGGTAGGAAATTTTTATACAAGAAGAAATATTTTTGTACAAGAAGAAATGAATTTAGAGACATATGCTTACATAGAAAATTTTTATACAAGAAGAAATGAATTTAGAGAACAAGAAGAATTGAGAGAGTTTCATGTTGTAGATGTGCAATAGGTTATGTGGTTGCGTTTTATATACTAGTTTTACTATTTTCATTTTCTACACTAAAATAATCAAAATTGTGAAATAAAAATATGGTTTTATTCTTAAAATATCTATTTTTTAATTAAAGATCAATAGTAAAATCCAAAATTTATTTTCTGGTATTCAATATTAATATAGCTTTATTCTTAAAATTTCATTACAAAAAATTCTAATTTTTATTTTAATAAAAAAACGATAGTAAAATCCAAAATTTATTTTCTGTATTCAATATTTTTAACGGGCGCAGTTGTATTTGAATTTTTTAACAGGTGCATGAATTTTATATTAAGTTCATAGGAAAATAGGGGAAAAAGAGAGAATAAGTTTGTAGAAAATAAAAAATAAAATTTATAAAACTTATGAAAAATGAACAAAACAAAATCTCATATATAAATTTTGGACAATAAGGCTCTGGAAATTGAATTTTTTAATCCAAAAAACATGCAAAAAAATTTCAATCCAAAAACATACAAATAAATTAGGGGGAAAATGTATTCAATAGAACTCAATTTGACAACGAATATGAGCTGAGCTCAATGTTTAAAATTGATGGCGTTGTGGTAGCTCATGAAAAGAGAAACAAAATAATATATCATTCTAGCTCAGGAAAATAGAAACAAAATAATATATCACTCATCTTGGACAACGTAGATGGAAGATGTATTTGGGGGCCGAAATCGATCAGTTGAAGGTTGAGGTGGCCGAAAATAATGGAATGAACACGTGGATGAGCTAAAGAAAAAACCCGTTATGCGTATGGAGATGAAAGACGTGTTTGGGCCGAAATCCAGCAGTTAAGGTTGAGGTGGCCGAAAAGAATAAACAGAGCTAGACATTAATATTGCTGAAACTTGACGAAATCGAACAGTCGAAGGAAAAACAGGAAGCATGAAATTATGTAGTTAGAATGGATACCATCGACTTAGACAAGTTATGATCGGTGTCCGCCTATAATTGCATCTTCGTTAAGATAAGATAAAATTACGTTTCTTAAACGGCTCCTTGTAGTACCATGTGTTGTTCTGATTGTACACTCTTACCATCTGTTTTGTTAGTGGTTTTCGATCATTTCGAAAAAACTGTGCATGATGAAACTTACCATTCACAAGACGTGTCCAAAAAACCACAGCTTTATGCACAAAACTCATACGGCTGCTAATCATAGGAACAAAGTGGGTCCAACCGCCAAATATGAACTCTCAATAAGTTTTCGCACTCTAGTTTGTCCCACAGCAAGAACATCGTTATTTTTCTTTTTTCTTTTCTTTCATTTTTCCAATTGTCTGATCCAAATCACTAATCATCCCAAGCATCATCAGCAGCACCTTCATTTCTACCAGCACCTGGGCCGATCATGTGCCTATACTTATCCTCGACGTTTATAGCAGTCGAGCCCACCAATGAGAGCTTTGATAGTGCAACCTTTGCTTCTCTGTGAGCCGCTAACGCTTCTTTCTCCTTTCTTCTTGCGGTCTGATTTATGGGGAACGCAAATGTTTCAGTCTTTCAACTTGTTCTCATTTTCATGAATAAAGGAG